CCTGTTTTATTTGAACCAGATAACTGTGGTAGAGCCAAGTGAGAGTGGTTCTCTCTTAAAATCATTTTAGTTTTTGCATCCTACATATCTGAGTTCAGCTTGTGCAGGCCTGTAAAATATGGCTACAGTAGTAGGCATCAATTACAATCCCATTCAGTGAAATTACTACTACTTCTGGCTTCCGTACAGTGTTATCCAGGATTTAGCATGGAACCCAGAGATGCTTACTCATATACAGCCTGTACATATAGTTTCTTTATTACCACAGAGATTGAGCAAACAACTGGGAAAATATTTAGAGACACTATTGTTTAGTAGTGTAACCCATGTGGTACTCAGACAAGGTACCTCCTTTCCAACTAAAGGGATTTAGTGGGTGCTAGTGCACTATGGGAGGTGTAACCACTTATGGGGAGCAGCTCTCCTCCTATTCCCTATAAAGTAGAGACACCAGTTGGAACTTAACTACATACAATTTAATAAGGGAAGAACCAGGTTGGGGTATGGTATATGTGCAGGAGAGTATGGGGGATCCTGGATAATAAGGGTACAATCCTCTTGGCACCCATGGGGGTGGGGAACCAGGGGAGGAAGAGAGGATTCAGTAAAGGTACACATATAAATCTAGCAAAGGCAAATCAGACATAAAGCTTGAGGTGTGGGGTTTCACAGAATATAAGACACAGGGTTTCCCAAAATATGAAAAAATGAAAAATTGTGCAGATCCCACAAAATTTGAGGTGCAGGCACCCCAAAGGGGCAGGAAAAAGAGGTAAGGAGAATCCTTCTCCCCCGTGGAGACTCCCTTTTCCTGGCAACTCACCCCTCTGGTGCTTTTGCTAGGGATCAAACCCTGGACTTCCACAAAGCAGGCAAGAACAGTACCACTGAGTCATTAATGCCTGGGCTACTGCCTGCAGCTCCAGGCCTGTAGTCCCTCCAGGATCCTCCATGTGATCTCCACATGCCAAGCCAGCCACCTGGCATCATGCCGGAGATCAAAAGAAAAAGGAAAAAAGGGCCCAAGCTGCTACCTGAAGCTTCAATCTTGGGTAGTTCCCAAACCCACCATGCACGCCCCTGCATTCCAAGCCAAGCTGCTGCCCCAGCTCCAAGAGCTTTGTTCCTGCCTGGACCCCTCTGTGCACTGTCCTGTGCACCACTGCAGCTGAGACGAGCCACCTCCTGTGGCTCCAGGCTCAGAATCCCACACCGGAGACTCGCCATGCACCACCGTGTGTGCCAAGTGGGCCAAGCTGAGCTGCCTCCTGTGGCTCCCAGACTCTGGGTCCCAGCTGGAAACTCACTGTTTACCACCCTGTGCACCAAGCAACTGAACCAAGATGCCTCCTGTGGCTCCCATGGCTCTTCTTGGGCAACTATTCCACCCTGCTGGCCAGCTCTCACCAGCTCTTCAGGACTCCTTTCCTTCATCCCTCGTTGTCTCTCCCCAGAACCAGTTGTGTGTATTAGGGCTGTGAGAAGCTTTGGGTGCTGATTCAATTTGAAGGAGATTCAGCCTGATTTGGCAGCCAAATCTCTGAAACCAAATAGAATTGGGAGACCAATAAAAAGGTCCAAATCAATTTGAAGCTCTCTGAATTGATTTGGAAAAGATTGTGAGAGATTCAGAGAGCTTCAGAGATTCAGGCAGTCCCCACTCAGCACCAGAGGGAGTTGGAACAGGACTCCATGCCGGTATGTGGGGGTGGGGGGAGGGTTGGAGGAGGGAGGAAGGACCTCTGTTTTTTATCTATGGTTCCCAGCTTAAACACCTTGGACACATCATTAATAATCTTCAATCTCTCCTGGAAAGTGATGACCCTCTCAAGGCTGCCATGGGGTTAAACTTGTCTTAGCTTACAGACAGCCAACTACCCTCAAACACTGTCTCTTAAGCAACAGGCTACCTCACTCCTAGTCTCACTGACTCACCAGGCCTTGCAACAAACCCCGATGTAAGCTGTGCCCCTTCAGCAACACAAAGACCACATAATCACTGGACCAAATAACACAGATTAAAACATCTGGATTCACTCACCTGATCTACTGTGGGTGTCATATATGCTGTCACTGGCTTACAGTGTTCCTCCACTGTCTACATTGGACAGACAGGGCAATCTATACATGAAAGAATGAGGAGACACTTATCTAAAAGTAGTGCAAAAACACACACAAGCCTGTGGCAGAACACTTTAACCTAACTGGACAGGGCTGACTTTGGAGTAGCTGTTCTTCAAAAGTAGAACTTTAAAAGATGAGTTGAACACAAAATTGCATAACAAGAAATCATTCAAAGACAGGACTGTGTTAACTATGGCCCAAACAGGGACTACAGATTTTTATCCCATTACCTAGATGAGCTTTTTTTGACCCTTATGGTCCCATCCAGACGAGCATGCATGTGCCTCTTGCCCCATCTCAAACCCCTTTGAGATGGGGCAAGAGGCACATGCAGGAACGAAAAAATGTTCCCCGTGCTTCAAACTTGCAAACAAATGGTCCCCACAGGGGCTAAGGCCCCCCAACAGGGGCTACAGCTCCCCAACAAGGGCCTTAGGGGCTCACAAATTCTCCAGTCAGATTTAAATACCTTTAGGTGAAGTTATTACAAGCCTGAAAAACAGGTTATTTAATCCTGAGATTAACAAATTTAAAAAATGTTTGAGAAAGTTGTATAGACTATCCTCATTCCTGTTATAGATTATTAAAAAAGTAACATTTTAGGTCACTACAACCCTCTTCAACAGCTCAGAATATATTGCAGAGTTGTTCTTCGTTTTTTCCTTCCTTTTTCTCTACTTGTATTTCCCCTTCCCCTCCTTCCCCATTCTCTTTTGTACTATCCAAAACTTTGGCACACATCTCCAGAGATATGCATACCCCTCTTTCAGTAGCTCTGCTTTAAACACACAACTCCTTTCCAGAAGGAGAACGTTGCAAAGTTAAAACTGTAAACAAAAAACTAGAGAATTATATTTTATTGCAACTCAGATAAATTCTGATTCCAGACATGTTTCCTGTTCATCTTTTACTAGCAATGGAAAACTATTAATGCTCTAAGATACTACGATAACAGAGCTGTAAAATCTATCACCTCAGTGTCTTATATAGTCCAGCAATAAAATCACCAGATGGAATTTTATTTGCTTATGATTAAAACTTGAAGAAGATTCTTTAAAAATAAATTATAAGCAATGAAGTGGCAGTGAAAGGACTGAGGCAGTGTCACTTCATTTTGCACTTCACTGGTCTATAATTGAATTCTGGTTTTTCTACCTCTTTTTAAAAAAATGTGTAAACCTGGAGCTCATGAAAATGAGGGACTAACAGTACTAGCTAACCCAAGCATAGTAGAAGCACATACTGTAGTTTGCCAAAATAGCTCAGTACTAACAGTCCTCTTGTTCGGGCTTCAAAACAGCGAATGCTCAGGGGATGAAAATTTGTATTTTGTGATCTAAACTGTAAACAAATGTCCACAGAGAAGTGATGATTGAACTGATATTCATTTGAAAAGTAAGGCAGGATTTCAACCTGAGTGCCCCCATGAGAAAGGTTAATGCATAACATAGTATGCTATGGAACCAGGATCATTAATACTTTTCTCTCCTCTTTTCATACTAGCTAGCTTTTTTGGGAACTACCATTTTTGTCTCATAAAAACTTGAACAAAATGTTGCAATTTTTTAATCCAGGATTTTGGTTTGGTTAAAAAAAAAAGCCAGTACATATGGTGTGCTGCTTAGTGTGGTTTCATTTTACAAAACAACAACCTGCTGAGCTTTTCTACACACCAATTATTGGCTTAGAAATGGGATTTTAAAGGTTGTTTTTGTTGGGAATTGGCTTATAGGTATAGATAGATATATATATTATAAGGGTTCAAGATGAACAGCAGGGATTAATTGACTTCTAAAGAGCTTGGGTCTCACACACAAAGTTTCTCATGGCCCTGGAAGCAAACAGGCTGTCTTTAACACAACAAGGCCAACAAAGCTGCGAGCTGAGGGAGTATGTGCCATACTGCCCATAACACAACATAACTGGTACCAGCTAACAAGGCCTCAGAGCAGGGGCATCTGAGTCCCGGTTCTGGGTGAAACAGACCAAATTAGGAGAAGGCCTGGAAAGCTATGTGGACTGTGATAACAGCATGAAGTGACCAACCAGAGATATACATGGATCAAGAGACTTCAACAGGGAAGGAGACTATAAAAGCAGACTTGAAAATAACAGAGGGTCCCTCCCTTTGTCTCATTCCTTCCTTTGTCTCATCCCTCCCTCCCCATCCCCATCCCCATCCCCCAGGAAGGGTCCCTGAGGCCACCATGGGGGGCGCACAATAAGCCTGTCTCATACACCCCCTGGAGGCGGGTATGGGCCTCGGCATCCCACCTCCAGACTTCTGACATTTGACACCTAGGAGAAAGCCTCAGAGTGGAGACTGCATCCTGGCCAGATGTATTTCGATTCTCGTGACAGCCCTAGGATTTGGTAGATGTATAGAATTGTTTGATTGCTTGTACAGTGGTTTGTTTGGGTTTTTTTTTCTGTTTTCAGTGTGTACCATTAAATTTGCCTATTATTGAATGGAAAAGCCATGGTCAATCAGAACCAGAGGCCTTGTTCCCCCTGGAATAAGGCCTGTGTCCTAAATCCAGAGCCAACAACAATAGCATTTCATTCTCAGACTCGCATACTTTTCAGTACAATTTCCTTTAACCATTTTTCAGTAACCATGTCCCTTCATCTCTGCCTCTTCATTGGGCACAGTGCTCTTTATAGGTAGTGTTTCACATAGCATATATTTAGAACATGTGGAAGAGAACTCTCAAAAGAGATCTGAATGTAAAGGAAAATTATTATTTACATGCAAGGTTTTCCTCAATGTAATATACCAGCTTCCACCAGACATGGGGGTGAATCATGGCATCCTTAAAGTCAGTGAAAGTTTTGCTGAGGTTTCAGTACCTAAAATAATTTATTTAACTCATCACTCCAAGGCTTAAAATTTTATTTTGGTCTTTTGAAATGTATTGAGAAAAATATATTTAGGAAATTTCTAATATATTCCATATGATATACGTGTCAAAATATAAAGATCTATTGAAGAGTTGCTTCCCCATGCAGTAGACACTGTTAAAAATGTTACATAACTGTGCCACCATACAAGATACAGTTGCACTGTATTCTAAACAAAAACTCATGACACCAATCACAAATGTGAAATCATAATGTTAAAAATTGAAACTATGTTTTAGCTTTAACTGCAGAAAGATATAAAACCAATTGTACAGCACATCTGTGATAAACTAAATTGCATCCCAGAGCAATTTTAACTTCTTTGTTATAGGCATTTGATAAAGATGGTTACAATGGAAATACTACCATGTCTTAAGTCATGTGTTCAATGGAAGCACTATTGTGTTTATGCTGACATAATCAAACTGGAGCAAATTACTCTGCTTTAGTGATGATTATTCGTCTCAAGTGGCTATAAACTCTATTTATGCCAAACAAAGGAATGACTCTTCTAAATAACAACAACTAAATTAACTTGGGTGTTTCAATTAGAATGGCAAGGACCTTGATCTCTTTATTTTACAGTAATGCAAATAGCATTTTTGCTGAACTCCTTTACAGTAATGCTTTCAATATGCTAGCATTTGCATAGCACTGTACAAATTCAAGTTGCTGTGCAAACATTAACCATTTTTTTCCTCAGAATACAACCAGCAGGTAAATTAATAATAATATCCCATTTTACATTTGGGAGCACTGCCAGTGGGTAAAGAGCTTGCTCTGAACCACACAGTGAGTCAGTTACAGAACTGAGATTAGATATTACATCAGTGGGACCTAACAAAGATTAAATTAAGCGCCTCTATTAAATAATGTACTTATGTACCTTTACTTTAGTGAGGTGAACATGATTTGCTCTTTATTTTCACATTAACAAACTGTAAAAAATTTTATTAAAATTTATCATAAGTGCCGAAGTAAATGCTTTACAAATATATTAAACAATGTTGAAATGTCTATGTAAATTTTAAGTCAATATTTTTTTAATTTTTCCTGAAGATTTGTGCTGTGTATCAAATGTACCATAGAAGTCTCCTAAATAACCCTATATTCTGTTATGCATATTAAAGTTTGACAATGTGAAATGCATGAGAGAAGGGCCACACTGGCCCTAAGCAGAGGCCAGGTAAATGCAGACCTCTTTCTCACATCACTTTTTAGGATCAGAAATAGAACAGCTACCCAAATGGAGATAAAAGCCATTTCATCAGGCTGGTTATAATGCTTCTACAGCACAGGTCAAAATATGACTATAAAGGATCGCACTGCAGGATCAAGGAGTAATATTAATATTTTCCAGGTGGGCCAAAGTCCTCATTAAGCAACATTTTCCAATGTTAAAACATTTACTTCAAGTAATTTTAAATACCCATAGAGCTAAATAAAGTAAACTTTAGCTTGAAAAATCACAGCTAAAGCTAATATACACTCTGTAACAGTCGGTGCACCAGCTGTGGATCAAAATGTGCTGAAAAGTAGAACATTTTGTCTCTCTTCATTTATCAAACATTCAACTACAAATTCATGGTAATCTGTTTAGGAGGAGCTAGAATTTATTAAGACTATTCATTACATAATTTTGCTAGTCTAAATCATAGTTCTCTATGGTTTTTAATTCAAAAGAGAAATTATATCAAATTCTCAGGAATCTTTTTTTATGTATAATACTTTCAAATACAAAACAACTTTACTCATCAGATGTCATTAAGGTCCTTTTTATTGTCTTGCTTTTTGTTGTTGTTGTCAGTAGTCTCTTGATAGAAGGATGACAATCTTCAGTAAATAGGAAAGTCACCAATGAGTCCATAGCCCACCAAGGACTCTGATGAGGTTTGCACATTCACCTGCAGGTGTGGCAAACAGTTCTGGGAGAAAAAAGTAGATCCTGATTATGTTAGGTCACAGCTCACTCTCTCTATATATATCTCTCATGTATCCACTTCCATAATGAGGTGGATACATGATGTAGCATTGATCATTCGTAAAATGGCACCACTGCAGACAATTCAGTGCTCGAGTGTCCAGGTATTGTTGTTAATGTCACATTTCTTCAGATTGATCTTTAAGGTGTCCTTAAATCTCTTCTTTTGCCCACCTCTACAGTGCTGACCACCAGTGAACTGAGAGTATAGGATGTGTTTTGGGAGCAGGTTGTCAGGCATCCTTATGACATCCTGATGAATGGAGTTGGTGCCACAAACATGACTTCCATGCTTGTGGTGTTTGCTTGAGCCAGAAGGCTGACATTCATTCTTCTGTCCTCCCAGCTGATATAAAGAATTTTCCAAAGACATTGCTTATGCCATGGTAATGTTCCAGAACTATCAGGTGTTTCTGATATATCATCCAAGTTTCACCTCCATGCAACAGGGCACAGATTGTGGCAAGAGGCTTGGTGTTTCTGCCACTTTAAGCAGCAGGCAGGCTAGTGTTGGGGCAGCCTGCAGGTGTGGCCAGGGTTGCTTATGGAGTCATCTGACCCTGCAGGAAGGCTGGGCTAAGGTAGAAGATAAGCCCGGGCCTGAGTGGAGCCAGCAGTAACAGCTTGGAGCCTGCTGAGAGAACACTGATTGCCTCAGAGGGTGGCTAGATCTCCAGAAGGTCAACATGGAGGGTAATACCTAAAGCAGTCTGGAGGTTTGGGGAGGAACAAAGAGGAGGAGGAGGTTCCTAGGGACACAGGGAAGGGTCCAGAGCCCAGATTGAGGGGCTGAGAGTATGGGACCAATGAGGGTCCAGGAACCTATTGAGGGCAACATGGAACCAGATAGGGTCCAGGAGCCCCAAGAGGAGGGGCTAAGTGAAGAGAACATCAATGAGGATGCCATCTGCAAGGCATGGGGCATGGTGTAGGGTAAGAACAGAGCCATGCAAGTAGTCCATAAGGCAGTAACTATGGGTGCCCGGTGGTCATTTGAGAGAACAATTTGGGAAGCCCTGTTGATTGAATCAAAGGGCTTAGTTTGTTCAGTGAAGACCCTGTGAAGATCTCAGTGTTGCTTGTGGCATTTCTCCTGCAGCTGTCTAGTAACAAAGATCATATCTATTGTACCTCTGAGTGGTCCAAACCACCTTGGGACTTGGGTGAAATCTTCTCAGTGAGGAAACTAAGTCTATTGTGGAGAATGCAGACAAGGATCTTCCCAGCTCTGGATAGGAGTGAAATACCTCAATTGCTGCAGTCTGATATATCTTAAATAGGATACTGATTCTGGCATCACTGTGAATCTCATGTTTCCAGACTTTCATAATAATAATGCATATTTCGTGAGAGCTTTTTTCCACCTTGCTTATAAATTTCAGCTGGTATTCCATCAAGATCACATGCTTTGTTGTTCTTCATCTGCTCAGTGGCTTTCAAGGCCTCTTTATAAGTTGGTGGATCTTCAAAGTAGTCCTTAATGGGATGTTGTGGGAAGACTGATGATTTTGTCTTACAATAATGGTTGCACTGAGGAAAGTATGAACATCATGGTCATCAGAAAACTTTCGAATCACTTTTGCTTTGTCCTCCCACCACTTTTTCTTTCATTTTCAAATTTTCCTCTGGATTTCAGCTTTAATATAATGACAAATTTCTGTCTTCTGTTTGGATCTGGTGTCATTTTGCCAAGCTTTTAAGGCTTTTTTTCTGTCAATGAATGCTTGAATTCCCCTATCATTTTCATCAAACCAGTCCCGATGTTTCTTTATGGAGAAGCCTAGAGATTTTTCACATACCTAATGGATGCCTTTCTTGAGGCTGTGCCAGTGATAAATGGTGTCAAGATTATCACAGAGATCAGAGTGTCCCACTCTTGGAGATAATCACTTTTAGCAGGATATTTGAAGTACTTGATATCAGGCCTCTTCCTTAGTTGCTTCTTTTGCTTATATCATTTTGGGGCAATATGGATGGATATGGTGGAATGCATCATCCACCCTTCCTCTCCATATCTTGGAGACCCTTCCCACGCTAGCACTGACATCATTGAGAAGAGTTATCTTATCTTGTTTGGGGACTTGGTCAGATTTACAATAGAATTTTCTTTTGTTTTGTCATCTGCATCAAGGGTTAGACATACATACTGATGACTGTTTCATATTGCCTGTCGGTCTGTTGAAGATGAAGAGTCCTGATGTTCACTGAAGCCAACTGGACATTCATTATCTGAATACCAATCTTGGTCCTAATAAAAAAAAAACAATACCATGGATGCATCTGTCCTTTTCAGCTTTTCCTTTTAAAAAAGGTGTAATTACCACCATGCTCCGTGAGCTGCCCCTCGCTGCACTCCTGATCTCATGAAGTGCAGCAATGTCAATATTAAGTCATGCAAAGTCTCTGGCCATGAGTGCTAGCTTTGCTCTGCTTGTTCCCCATTAGGGTTTTCCATCAAGGTGAGACCGTTCCAGGTTGAAATTTCATCACTTGATTTGGACCACAGATAAAGTGATCACAATGCTTTTCAATCAGATTAAATGAGACAGACTATGGTTTAGGACACTTTTTCTAGCTCCCTACCCATATGGGGTGAGCAAAGTGGATTCTAAATAGGCCTGCACGGTCATGATTGATCTGCTGAACTGCACACTTGTCTCAGTTCTATGCACAAAATGATTATCACACAATCATCATCTCCATGCAGGTTCGTGACTCAGAGCGTCTAGTAATTACAAGCATCTGCCCTCACTTGCACTTGACCATCACTGTAGGACTTGTTATTGAAGAAATATCCCTCCATGTGTCTTCTTTTAACATGGACATACCATTGTGCATCAGCACCCAAAC